ACCGAACCGAATTTGAAAAATCGAAATAACCGAACCATATTATGCCAAAAACTGAAACCCACCGAATAATCAATTTAACCGAACATTAACCGACCGAACTATACATTTTAAAATATATATAATATAATTAATATATATATTATATTATCATAATATATAAATATATATATATATATATATATATATATATATATTTTTAGTATTCGATCAGTTCGGTTATTTCGGACATTTGATGTTTGAAAACCGACACCAACCGAAATGACCAAAAATTCATTCGACTAAAACCGAAAATCGACCGAGTCGGATAAAAACCGAACCAAAATATTCGGTTTCGGTCGGTTTTTTCGGTATTAGTCAAATTTCACACACTCCTACTAACGGGGCAGATACCCCCGTCGATCGGGAACCTGACGGGGCTCAAATCCCTGGCTTTTGAAAACAATCAGCTCAGTGGAAACCTACCTCAAACACTAGGCCAACTCATTAGACTAGAATACATTAATTTCTCTAACAATCATTTTACAGGAAAAATTCCTTCCAGTTTGGGAAATCTGAAGAAGTTACAGAGACTGAATTTAGCAAGCAACCAACTTTCAGGCCCGATCCCATATGAGTTCCTTAACTTAAAGCTCCTACAAATTCTTGACATGTCTTTCAATCCTCTAGGGCTCAATAAATTTCCCGATTGGCTTAAAAGTCTAAGCCTTTATGAACTGCGGCTCGCGAGCACAGGACTCGAGGGAGAACTGCCCAACAGCTTATCTTCATTTTCTTCCCTATATGTTCTTGATTTATCGAGTAATTCCCTAAAAGGGAAACTACCTTCATGGATTGGAAACATGACAAACCTTTCCTATCTAAATTTGTCCAACAATCATTTCGACTCCTCTGTTCCAGTCGAGTTCAAGAACCTCGTCTCCTTAACCTACCTCGATCTCCACTCTAACAGCCTCTCGGGAAATTTAAACGCGTTTTTCGAAAAACAGTCCCAACATTTGCACGGGCTATACTCCTCGATCAACCTTTCTAACAACATGTTTCGTGGGCCCATAGACGACGACATCGGGGACAAGCCTGTAATGAAAGAAGTCGAGACTTTGATTTTGTCCGGCAACCCTTTGGGCGGTAAAATACCGACATCGCTCGGGAAGTTGAGATATTTGAGGAGGCTCGAGATGGAGAAAAACGGGCTCATAGGTGGAATACCGAAATCGCTCGGGAATGCAAATAGACTCGAGGCAATTCTTTTGTCGGTGAACGAATTGAGTGGCGGGATCCCTAAGGAGGTTTTGAATCTCGAGCATCTCAACAGTTTTAATGTCTCGTACAATCGTTTGAGCGGGAAAATACCGGCTCATAAGGTGCATATTCCGGCCTCGGCTTTCGAGGGGAATGCCGGTTTGTGTGGGGAACCGCTTCCTCCGTGTAAGAAGTAGAGAGAATGGGGATTATGTAGGTTAATAATAATGTAGTTTGATGAGAAGAATGAGAGGATCTTATTTAATAAATTTGACTTTGCCATGATATTAGTTAGTTCTTACAAGTTTCAAGGCTTCTTTTTTTTTTTTTT